GTGTGTGTGTGTGTGTGTGTGTGTGTGTGTGTGTGTGTGTGTGTGTGAGAGAGAGAGAGAGAGAGAGAGAGAGAGAGAGAGAGAGACCCCATGCATGCGGGCTTTATATTCATAGACCTAATTCCTGCAACCTTGCAATCATCAGTGGAATAAATTGCCTGGGGGGACGGACTTCATAGACTCTTCACCAGCCCTCTGCCCACGATCCCTCGGATATCAAAACTCTGAGCGTCTTTCAAGTAGCCCCCATTTGTACCACTTGCAAACTAACCTCCCATACAAAGACACCCCCCCCTTTGTGTCCAGATGTGGCATTCCCCCTAAAATATCGCGGCCGACCCACTGCCCTGTGCATTCTGGGGCGGGGACAGCTTCAAACGTTGATATGGCCCAAACCAGCAGGGCGAAACCACCGTGTTACCCCATAAAAGAGAGGGGGCAAGACCTGCCCCTAGAGTGCGCACATCTTGATTTGCAGAAAACACTGTTTAGAACCTTTTAGAAGTGGTTTTTGTTTTGTTTTTGTTTGAGTATTACGGGTATTTTTCTCTCTCTCCCGATGCCCCCCTACAGCGAGACTCCTGGGGATCCGGCAAATAGCCGGGGGAAGGAAAACGAAGGTCAAGAGAGTGCTAACCATACCGAGTGTCTGCAACGTGACTTTTCTGCCCAAGAGGTGGCATAACCCGACCCCAGGTTCTAACGACATCCCGGGGAAGGGGGGACTTGGCAGGTCCATCAGCAGGGTGGGAAGCGTTACGATCAGGGCTACTGCTACTGGCATCTCCGTGGGATTATTTATTTACTCTGCTCTGGCAGCCCATAACCCTGGCCATGTCTGAGGGGGGCCTCGCCACCGCTGGCCAGGGCCTGGTGACCTCCGGCTTGGATCACTGCTCCATGGACCTGACCCAAAGCCCATTGAGATCAATGGAAATTTTCCCACTGGCTTCAGCAGGCGTTGGGCCCTGGATGGGGCCCCTTTGGAGAGCTATAATCAGATGCTCTGGCTGGGGGAGAATAAGGGAAGCATCTTTGAGTCTCTGTGTGGATTGATTGCCAGCTACACACCCAACTGCTTCCCTCCTTGGGGCTGGGCTTTGCCCTTAGAATTCATTGAGTCCGAGGCCCCAGATTTCACCCGTGGACTCGAGGAGAGATGCGAACTCCGTCTGTTCTCTCCGAGGCCTTTTTTGCTTGGAGCAGGGTGGGTGTTGGGTCGCTTCGGGTGCAAGGCGCAGGCCGGGTGATGTGTGAGTGAGTCCTGTAGGTTCTGTTAGCCCGGGCGAGTTGATTTAGCGCGGCTCTTCGGGTTTGCCCTCGCACTCCGAGACAGTGGGGTGGTGGAGATTGAAATTGGGGTTAACGTTTTTTTCCATACCTCCCCCCCCCCAAAAAAAATGTTTTCAGTGATTTCCCCCCACCCCTTCATGATGGAGGGAAAAAAACTGACTTTAAAAAAAAACCATCGACTCTAGTGCTGGGAGTGTTCATAAAACGGGGGGGGGGGGAGTGTTGAAAATAAACGTCCGGAACACGAAAGAAAAGCCAAAGCGCCGTGGCATTTCATAGCATGAGAGTTTAGCTAAAACCATGCGAGTCCCAGTGCACCGACCAGGCTGAAATCCGCGTAGAAAAGCAAATCGGCTCCCTCTTCCCGCACCTGTCCTGTTCCCTGCTATTAGGATCGAGCTGGGTCAGGTCAGGAAAGAGAAAATCTGGCGTCGGCCCCGGCCGGATCCATTTAACAATCCCACCCTCAATCTGGACGGAACCCCGAACCCCTTGCAGGCGAAGGGAGTTCTCAACAGACTTCAGTGGAGCCGGGGTTCCCAGTCCCTGTTTTCGTTGACTGCTCAGACCTGCTTTGACACCCGTCACTTCTAGTCCCGGTGATTCCCCGGGGAAGCCTTCTCAGTATTTAGGAACCTTTTAGCCCCCTTGACTTTTAGACACTAATTAATAGGGGAAAGAAAGGTCCGGTTCCCAGTTTAACCAGCGCGACGCCAGATACTGCCTGCCGGAACTAGCAAGCGTGTGGAGGGGAATCAGATGCGTTTTGAGTTCAGATGGACTCAAACCGGATTAACTGGCCAGAGCCCCATCTCTGCCATTGATTTGAATGCAGAGAGCCTCACTGAAGTCAGGAGGAGAGCTGTGGTTTGGGGTTT